ATTTAAGAATAAATACTGTACTGTCATTAAGCACAGCATTTGACGATGAGAAGATTAGGATTGACTCCGGTGATAACAGAAGGCGATAGTTAAGGAATGTATGCAAGAGCTGTAACTCGAATGGGCTAAACTTTAGTTACTTCTCTAAGATCCTCTTTACAAAAGCCGACAAAGTGTACGAACTAAAACACTTTACAGAGTCAGTTAAGTGTGCACTTAACTAGACTGGCTCTTGTCTACCCGTTGGATTTTGTTTAGTTTTCTACGTGTCTCATTATGTTTCTAATATAGTTTCTTATTATAGTTAACCATAACAAGGCGGTATATACATACATATACATCTATATACATGTATAATATGTAAAGACAACTCTTTGTACGCATTTTTTATAAATTTAGCGAAACCAGAAATATGTATTTGCAATATTAAGAATTTATTACAGAAGTGCACAAATTTAAACAAAATGTGTGAAAATTCTGCACAAAGACAGCCCTGGTTGTACTGGCTAATAGAATATACCAAAAAAAGAAATAACGATCGAAATTCTCGACCACCAGCGAGATCTAGTGTATATAAATAGATAAACCGTATTGTTCCGTAGCTTTGTATTCTATCTACGTTTTTTTTTTGTTTGGCTGACCAACTTTAACGTCAACAAAATCTTGCCTTTATAAGTATGACGTTTTATTGTTATACATATATGTGTTATGTATAACAATTGAGTCAAGTATATATAATCGTAAGAGAGCCATTATTCGGCACAAATAGGATGGCTCGACCGGAGGCCTCACAAAAAACCGTCGTTCTTTCATTACTTTTAACCAATTGGGTCAGGTTACCAGAACCTCAACCAATTTTGGATGACACTCAAGGGGCGGCAACTCACTTGTGTCCGTTGAGCTGCTGGGTCCATGGGCGGTGGTAATCACTTAAGATCAGGTGACCCGTTTACTCTTTTGCTCCTCATCATGAAAATCAACGGCCTTTAATAGTCCACTACTGGACATATGCCTCTCCTTAGAAAGGAGGGTTTGGCCTACTATACCACGCTGGCCAGACGGGTTGGTAAAGGGTTTGTGTCAAGTTTTTCTTCTCTTTGTAGTGCTGTTATTCTACGTAGTTTGCTCCGTTAGTCGGCTCTTACGAAATGAATAGTGGTGGTGACATTCCGTATTCATAATCCGTCACCACACGGACACCATCCCCATAACATCATCATCACATCAACAGCCTATAACAGTCAAATGCTGTGCATAGGCCTCTCATTAGAAAGGAGGTTTTGGCCTACTATATGGTTGGTAAAGGGGGTGCTAAGTCGGCTCTTACGACACCCACGGGATGAATAGTGGTAGTGACACTCCGTATTCATAAACCGTCACAACACGGACACCACATACCACATAAATGCCACCATATACCACACAAAAAATCATTCTTAGAACATTGTGATTGTGTATGTTGAGATATAGTACTCTTCAAACACAAATAGTCAGTATCATAAATAGTATTTGAGTGCGTAGTCTTATCGAACGATGAACTATTGAAGACGAACACACGTGATGATTACTTAAAAAGTATGTCATATTTAAAGATTGAACTCTATTGATAAGGTAGATAAGATACACATCTTATCCTGCCTTATCAGTGTTCTTAATAAGTGAACATTTTATAATAGTCTCATAAGTAGTTAGTATAATAATAGGCGTTAAAGTATTTAAAGTAAAGACTTATACTGGAAAATTGAAACTCGTTTTTTTAAGATACATATTTATTTAATCGAAATATTAAACCTCATTATGTATACATTGCTGCTATCTAAACGGTAGTTCATTTATGCCTTTAGGATAGAACTCTGGGGATCTAGATTCGACAAACTGTGTGAAAGCATTTTGTACTGCCTCCTGGGAAGAACATTTTTTCAACACGTAAAAATTGTCCAAATCTCGTACAGTTTGTCGTCTTGCGTTATCATGGAACAATAATGGTGAAGATCAAATCGAATTCGAAAGTTGGCACAGTAAACATCCGCTGTTATTGCTTGACCAGACCTGCGAAAGACATATGAGAATGGGTAGTGTGACTCCTTCAGTTAAGTGTTATTCACCTATGTGTGCGGTCTTCCATGTGGTTCGTTCTTCAAGTGGAAGTTTCCACTACAAAAGCGTTTAAACGACAAACCCACGGTGCGTTCATTAGCAGTCTCCTCTCCAAACACAGCGTTGATTTTGCGAGCCGTTTCTGCCGTGTTAGTTCCGCTTCGGAACTAGTTTACAAAAATGATTCGGATTTCCGAAGTATGCATCTTTCACGTCTAAGCTGAATAAAAAAAAACAACTGAACGTCAAAAATCGAATGTTACACATTTTTTTGTAGAAGAACCTCATAGGTATCACGTGAAGAAAAAACACACGAAAATCTCACACCATGACGGTTTTATGTCAATTCAAAGTATCTGTTATATATTTCTAAATACATACATATTATACATAAATTATACCTAAACATAGAATAAAACCATTGTACTCATAACACTATTATTTGGCTGGCTTAGCAGTCAGTGTCACAAACCACTAGACACACAGGCCAGTATCTTAAGTAGGATTTCTTTGGTGGACCAAACTCCATAGCAGCTACTCGTACATCTGAGAGCAGTAGATGTTGTTTCCAAAGTAGTTCGGAACCAATTTAAGTAACCTCTTAAACTACCTAAGTAATATCCTTGAGATCCTTTTATTGCAGCGCCGCCGGAGGCAAAACTAACTTTAAATACCCTCTTTATGTAAAGTGAATAGATAATATATCGTTTTGCAATCTTTTAGTAAATCTGTACTAATATAATAAAGCTAAATAGTTTGTTTGATGGTTTTGTTGAACGCTCTAATCTCAGAAACTACTGGTTTAAATTGAAATATTCTTTTAGAGTTGGATAGGCCACCACCAACAGAAGCAATAAAAAATGTTAATGTGTAAAACTCTTAATAATATTTACTGTCTGTTACCGAAAGTCTTATGAAAGTCACTAAATGAATATTTACACTTAAAGTTGGTCTGTGTGTATCATATTATCCTTATTTATTTCATTCGCCTAGGAATTTAAAATACACCGAGGATAGCACAATAAGGTTTTGTTCTAAGTCATCTACCCAACGCTTATTTTGCGGATGAAAATAAAACTATGAACTACGACAAAATAGATATTTTATCTTTGCACCTACCGCATCATATTTCTACATCACCTGAAGGTTGACTGGGAGAGAATGCCTCATGGCATTAAGTCCGCCTTTGTACAAGATGTGAATTAAGTTTAAATAAATAAATAAAATACCCATTAGATTAGGCGTGAATATAAATTCTTGCTTACAATATTTAATCAAGAGTTTACAAGCAAAATTTCATACTCAAGTACTTATACATAACTTATTTAATTTGGCGATGTATCGGATATGAAATTTCCAAGTTATCCTGCTGCGGAAACAGATTTGAAAAGGATAATCCGAGTTTCAGGTAGATTTTACCAAAATTATTAGATTAATAAGAAAGTATAATAATATCATGAAAATATAATAACAGCTGGGTAATAATTTTGAATAATTCTACATTATATTTTGGTAATAACACCTCTTTAGATATTCGTTTTTAGGTGTTATCTACTTTAAAAATAAAAATTACAATAAACCAATACAACACTATACACCCATTTCAGCTATTATACAAAGTAAAACAAAAGTGTTTTATTTTGACAGCTCTCATGTGAGTTTTATTCCAATATTTTCATATTTGTTACAGTTACGGTTTTGGAGCTCTATATAACCAGTTACTTAGTATGTATTTGATTAACTAACATTTGTCAAATATAGGTTGTCAAACATAGTTGGATCCTATCGCCACCGTTGTGCAAGAGACGGCGAACAAAGAGACAGAAGGTATTGTAACCTCTCCATTGTTAGTGCGACCAACTCAAGACCAATCGATATCTCTCATATCTTGTGTAATTTTCCACGTTGCGGTGCAGTCTCAACTGGCAATATCGTCTCACAATACAGCCCAGACTCAAATTACAAACGCTCGGCCAAGCACAGCCCGCTCCGCCCACCGCCTCATAGACCTGTCCGTTTCAATTTATAACGCACGCTCACTTATCTAGACCGAGTTCCTATTTGATGGATCGCGACTTGCGCGAGATTCATGAGCCAACATTTTTAAAATTCTAAAGTTTCTCCGCCGCAGTTTGACGGCAGATAACCGCAGGCATGTTACGACTTATAAAGTCGGTACCGAATTCGCTGCGGGCGGTTTAAAGCGCGACAGAGAACACGGCGCCGCCGATACTTAATGCCTTTTATAATTTGTTTTAATTGGCTATGATAAAAACGTCTCGAAATTCTTGTCGCCAAACCTCCCCCACCCCGATTCGTTCTCTAGAACACTTTGTTGTTTCTATTCGACGCAAACAAAATAATGGGCCAATAAAAATTGTAATGAAATATCGATAGCGGAGTTAGGTGCCGTAGCCACTGCGCCGTGTGCGTGCCCCTCGAATGGCTGCAATACCGCCAGGTAAACGGGGCATGTCAATATTTTTGTGGAAAATCATCAAACGGAACGATATCGGTTACGCAATGCGCATAAACTACGTATATAATACACTCGTGGGATGTTATGAAATAAAGAACGTTATGGGGATATAAGGCACCATTACCGTTCTTTATGGTGTATTTATGCAGCCGAGTGTACGGGGCACCTAATGTATGAATAGTCTATTTTTCCATTCCGTTTATAGCGTCATCTTCATAAAGTTTGCAATGGCGCGGTATCGAGCGACCCACTTCCACCTTTTGGACACGTGGAACAAGCCGCGACAGCTGCATCCAACTACGTTCATACCCGCGGTGTACGTCACACACTGCGCTTATTTATCATCTTGTTATTAGGAATAAAAAACTCTCTACGATTTATGCAATCTCGTATTCAAGTTTCCCAACAAAAAACAGTAATTTTAATGGGTCCCCGAAGTGCTCGGGCACTAAACGGGAACAAAAGAGCACCCCAATCGGCACCACGAGGCGCTCGAACTAAATTGGTTGCTTTTTGTGCGAAAACGTGGCGGCCTCTGCGCGCCGACCGCACAATACTTCATTATATTATAGTGCTGCTGCTCCACGCCGAGGAAGGCAACGCGCTCCGCTGGTGTGCACACCGCTTAAACAACTTTACGACTTTTCTTTTACGATTGACAATTAAAATGTCGGCTAACGACTTCACTCCGAGCGAGCATAAAAATGTTTTCGACCATTTTGCGGAGATTCTTTAGATTTTCTACGCTCATTGTCGTCGGTTGACGTCTCACCAAAACAATGGAGCCATAAAATACTGGTAAAGAAAACTCTTAGATGAGATAAAACGCGAGGTAATTGGTGTTTAGGGTCGTGTTACCCGCGGGACTTTACGGCGATGTAACAGCTATGCTTACATTCGTGGATGTATTTTGATGTACTACCGTATAGGAGGTACACACAAGTACCTACAGCAATCACTTATTCATGTCTTTTGAGTCTTTTTTGCCTTAAACCATTCTTAAGCAGCATTTGGACATTTGAAAACATAATAGTCCTATTAAGAAGTTAGTGGCACATTACTAAACATACGATGTGTCATTTCAATTTAGTTCAGTGGAAATGGGTAACATTACTGGGCGAGGTAAAGTGACGCCACGTCGACAAGTCATGAACCCCTAAGCCACGTCAGCGACGGGGAAAACTGTTTCAATTCGATTTTCCAGGACTTTGACGCTTATTCATCATTGCCTAACTATTACTACTACCTATATATGAAGACAACTATAATATTTTAAGTGTCCCATTGTCTTTGGAAAGATTTTATATAAACCCATTTGTTTAGAGTAGTTACTTAAGTGACGGATAATTCACAAAACAGACGTTTGTGGCGCGCATTTGAATTAATGTTTCTATTATCCATACAGTTTTGGCCGAGAAAGCGGTGTGTATTTTCCAGAATAATAAAATAACAAAACAAATCAATGTAATTGTATATACATATATATGTTGTCACCTTGAGATTGATTTGCATAAATAATAGTAACTAAAATAGCCCCTTTATTTCCATAATGATTGACCTTACAAAACATTTCCTAAGATTTTAATGTGCAAGCATAACATAATTAAAACAGTTAATGTAATAAATAAAGTAATCTATTTGAATGGAAATCGCATAACGAATAAAAATAACATTTCTTTGAATTTATCACATTTTGATTTCATATACAACTGATTTTAGTCTTTAAGATGTTGAAATACCAACTATAAACATTTGAAGACCATGAAATTATCAAAGGTATTCATACGCAGATATGTTGTATTCCAATAAGGAAACGTTCACGTTGAAATTTGTCTCTTTACGAACAAATGAAATAACTCCGGCCATTTCGTACAAGTGTAGTTTTATGTTGCAATAAACTCTTCTTCCGCAGCGATCCTTGAAGTAAATCTGACCCACGGTGCTGCTTACAACCGTTACCTGGATTGTTGTAAGCTCCAAATTAGGGCCCTTATAATCCGGGGTTGTGTTTCGTTCCGCCTGCTCGGTTGCGTCATCTACACAACAAGAGTATAATAAAATATATATGAAACAAAATTGATGGGAGGGTAACCGGATATTAATTCAAGATACGGAATATTGAAGGATAATAAATTGTAAGTATAAATGCTACATTTACGTTACATTCGTAACAAATTCCTAGTTCAGACATATTGCTTCGAATGTCAATTATTACAAATTTATTGCTTTCGTGAGAATTAGAGACCGATGATTAGATCTCTTATCATCGCCTGGAAGAGTACAATTGGCCTAATGTTCTATTTCTGGTGGTGAATGGGTTGCCAGATCCCTTAGGCCAAACAAAAAATAAGTTACCTGTACCTTCTTATTATTTGGCTCGTTAAGCTAATTTAAATAAGTATAGTAAGAAAATATTTGTGTACACAAATATGGCTACATATATTTATACATAAATATGGTTTGTCCGTGAGGTGACGGATTAAGAATACGGATTGTCACCACCCCCACTCATCCCGTGGCTGTCGTAAGAGCCGACTAAGGGAAAAAACTACGCAGAACAACAACACTGCGGAGAGAAGGAAAACTTGACACAAACCCTATACCAACCATGAGGCTTATGTCCAGCAGTGGACTATTAAAGGCTGTTGATGTCATGATGATGTGAAATATGGCTACTTATATCTATTCCCTCTAAGACTATCCGGTACTCATTTCAGAATGCAGACCCCAAAAAAATCGTTTTACACCAGCTGTATAAAATTACAAGATAACATCATTTTAATATTCAACAATCATATTGATTTGTTTAACGGCGTTGTCAGAATACAAGAAAGAAAGCGAATTAATAAAACTCACTTCAGTGTTATTATTACCAAGAAAGAAACCATTATGTTCTCTATACATATACAGTAATATAACCTGTTCTCTTTAAATCAAAATGTTTTACTGAATAACAGATAAAATAAATAGTAGTCGTAAGTATAAAACTGTTCCGTTCACAGCTTGCTAAACTTCTCTCGGTTTTGTTAGACCTAACATTCATTCCTCACAAAAGTAAGAACAGGTGATGTGTATTTACAGGTTTCCTTTTGTACAGCCATAAGCAACGCATTGACTGAATGTTCCCAGGTCCAAGTAGCCTTGTTGATAATACTATTATTCTTTATGGTCGGGACCTTTCATTCATTGACAAAGGAATGTTCCCGTAACCGGTATTTTTGCTGCATTCAGCTTCATAGTACGAGTACCTCAGCGGACAATAGAGTAAAAGACAAGGTGATGTAAGTTATGTTAATTACACCAGAGGCAAGGGAAATTGTTTGAATAATTTCTGAAAACGAATACATAAGTAAATATCTCTCAATGTTATTTATTATATTTTGCTGCAGAATTTACATTGTAAACAGTGTGTCGGACTTTTACAATAATAGTATTTTTGTTCTTATCGTGTCGATGGCAACACTTTACACGGTTTTGGCCCAGTGCTCGGCGGCGCGAATAGCGTTTGGCCTTGCTTGATATAGGTCATCAAGCGTACACGACTCTGGGTTCGAAAACCCGATGTTAGCAAATGGCCCATTGTCTGTGGAGACGCGCCACAATCGCATTTATTTGCGCTTGGGTCAATATATCCCCACCTTGAAGCGCCTTCCAGGTTGGCCAGGGGAGTTTATGTCCTGGAGGTAGTTTTAGTAGTAGAAAAATTACAAGAATGGTACAGACTGACAATAAAATTGATGTCCCTCTCCCCAGGCCGAGGATGTCTCTTACCTCTCTACTGGTTCCTGCCTGTCCCATCTTAAAACGATAACATTTCTAAGGAGATTTGGCGTCAGACAGGCCTTCAGATATAAAAGAAACCGGCCTAATACTTTCCAATGTAATATGCATTACGCCGACCCCAAATAAAAAGGTAGGCAAATAATGATGATATTGCTACATACTAACAATCGGGCCGGTCAGATAGTGTCAGGTAAGAAAAAGGTATCGTATCTTATAATAATTATCGTTATTAAGTCCCAATTTATACATAAGTACCAATTACAGTATGATGGAAGGGACCGATAGACAAAGAGACTCCACTCATAATGCTGCCATTGTTGAGCTCACAAGTAAAAATATCTCGAAAAACAACTTCTAGTTCTCAAGACATACATTTAAATTTAAAAGTTCAAGGATTATATTATTACGGTAACATCGGAAAAACTCCATCGTATTCTACGAATAGATATCTTTTCTCAGCAAATTTATTTCAAAATATCGGCTTCAAAACTAGCATGGTACGATAACTAGACTTGTTTAGCTCTTGTAATGTTACCTCACACAGCCATCTGATCCCAAACTTGACAGAGCCTGTACTATGATAACCAAAGTACCGATAAACAAAAGTTTAATTTACTAAATACATTCATATTGACTTGTCCGCACGGATGGCGCAGTGGTTTAAGCGGTCGCCGCGCCGCTTACTACTACGCTGAGTGTTGTGGGTCCGATCCCCACATGGGACGATACTTTGTGTGATCCACAAATTGTTGTTCTGAGTCTGGGTGTTCTTTGTGTCCGTTTCATGTATGTTTGTAAAGTCCCCCGCGATACAGGATATATTCCTAATGCGGGAGTTGTCATTTTAAAATAGAATAGATAATAGATATTATAGATAAATTACACCCAGACACAGATCAAAAAATCGTTTCAATTGGTATTGGTATTGGTTGTGGGCTCCGGTTTCCGCCTTTAGACTCAAGAGTGGTCCTTTATGCGTCGAGGACTGGTTAGCTAGGTGAGCCAACCAAACTCCTTCCAGAAGCTCCTTCGTTTCGATTTTACAACTGTTATTTGTCCTGGTTGGGAATCAAACTCATGAGTATGATTCCCACATCTAGCTCAGCGATTCGAATCTCTAACTAGTCCACTACGCTAGTCTATTCATAGTGTCTCCACTAGTGGACTTCAGACAATGTCGCTATAAATAAATTGACACGGGCGATCTAAAGATAAGTCCATAGTTGGCCTGAATGCTGGATTACCTTAAATACTTATGTAGAAGACTACAGGTTGCCATTTTAAATGGAGTCACGAAGAGTAGAAGAGAAATACACATTTATGATTGATAAAATCTTCTTTCGAAAGCTCATTCTAGTAGTTGTACTGACATTTCGTTTAGTAGGTATTTAATTTAGTCGTATTTATCGCGTCGAGCCGGCTGCGAGCCGGCGAGTATGTTCTGTAAAAGCCAAGCGACGCCTTTTCCTTAGTTTATGAATTTCTACGAGTCCTTACTTCCTAGAAACGCAATTTCTTTCGCAGTATTGTGTAAAGGAAGCCACGGTATATTGACATACAAATACAATTACAAAAAAATAGGCCGGAATTCCCGAGACTAATTAGTGTAATTGAAGTGGAAAAATAATAATACGTGTATAATTTCATTTGAACAATACCCTATTGTTGCGAATGGAAATGCTTTTAAACTTACTTGGTATAACATTTAGTTTAACACGACAGTAGAGCGCTATTAGAAAAGCTTTATATGACACTTTGTAGTTAAAAATGTTTTAATTTATTATGAAATAGAGTTTAAACCAATTCGAATTAAATTTAAAAACTAAATAAACTTTCAACGACACCCTTCAACCTAGTGCTGGTTGCAGCCAGAATGAAAGCGACTCTCAGTTTTTGATATGCGATACATAATTGCTTGCACGTGTTAGCTACAGGCGAAGATTATTTGCAGGC